CTTTAAGGGAATCCCCCAAAAAAGTGTTTTTTTCAAAATAACTATGTTACCTAAGGGGTTGGGTGAAAAGTTTTAACTTTATGCAAGCCTTGAAGCTAAGACAATTCATTTGTCACCATTTAGAAGTGAGTACAGCTGTTTAGGAGAAGGGGTTTTTGTAAAATCCCTGGGTTCACAGGTGGGATGAAGAAGTTAACCTATGTGTAAAACCTCGGGACTGAGATGATTCACTTGGTACCACTTAAAAGTTGATGTGGTTAGCTGTTTAGGAGTTATGTGACACACAGACACTTCTTACCCTATCCACAAAGTTAAATCATTTCCTCTTTAATAACATCATGTATAACCGTAGAGATGGAATTGCCATGGGGTCCCTGTTTACCCAACAATAGCCAACAGTTTTCTATGCTATCATGAACACAAATGGTTATAAGACTGTCCATATGAATTTAAACTTGTCCTTTACAAACACTATATGACAATTTCTTGCTCACAGTTTTCTAAACAACAAATTCCAGCCACCTGCCACTGGGCACACGTCCTCAAATTTCCCTTCATTACCTGCCTTCTTTTTATGGGCTCACAATCCTTACAAGTTAAAAAAATGCACTTCTCTTTAATAAAAATCTTCTACCCTCAAATTCAGTTCAGACTAATATACAGACCTAGTCTCTGCATTAAACACTAATTTCAATATACAGGTCAAATAACTAAACTTCTATGTTCATGATTCATGTATAAGTTTACATGTAGTGACTGTATGGTCATGTACCTTGGCAAAATAAAATGCCACCTAAATATAAAGTCTGTGAACATTTAGGAGTATCAAATAGAACTGACTGTCTATTACTTAAACCAACCAATCATCCATTTATTCTCATGTTGAAACCACATGTCACAATATTTCATATAATGATTTCTCTATCATTACTACAGGATCTTCATTAGAGACTCACAACAACCCCTGCCAGTACGGAGGTAGATACAACAACACATTAAACACTTACAACAACTCCTGCCAGTATTAGATTAGATACAACAACACATATCTTAAACTCTACCTTAAAGAAAGTTTACTCGTAGCTAAGGACCACCTCTTTAGATCTAAAATTATTCTAACTTTATGCAGTTGAAACTCAACTGTTTCATAATATATTCTGTAATCTTTTTTTTTTCTTGTTTTTTCCTCCGTTTACCACTTTACTCAATATTTAAGTAAACTAGTTACTAATGATACTATAGCATTAGTTAATAAATATCTTTGTAACACTATTTACAAATTTCTCTGAAGATGGAATAAATGTGTTTCAAAATGTTCAAATATTGCCAGTGCTCTCTCTCTTATCTTTTTAACAGCATAAGTCGCGTTTTTTGTTTTTAAGTAAATTATTTTCTTCTTTACTACAAACTACAAGTGACATGCTGTAGAATTTAGTAACAAATCTTCTTAAGCATGCTTTGGAGTAAACTTTATAGTTTTCATAGTATGTTTCACTGGGAGTTTCATTAACACAAACACTATATTTTGATTTGTATATAACAAGTTTATGACATAACTATTAACTTTTTTTCTTTGGGTTTATAATGTAAGTCTATCTTTTTTGAATTTTACATTTTAAAATTAAAATCAATTTTAAACATGTACTTACCTCTGAAATACTGTAAACCAGAATTCCCACATTGTGATAGATGAAGGGAAACAGAGAAAGTCATATTAAAAAACAACCAGATCACCAGATTGTAAGCTTAGTGGACAGGAAAGGTAACATACTTAGAACACAATAGCATTGAGTCTCGTGATCAAACATAACTTGAACATATTCTAGAACTAGAGCAATTGGCACTGGACTGACCTTGTATGAAAGAACTGAATGAAGAGGACAAGCCTCTAAGCAGGCTTTAACAAAATATGAAGCACGCAGAAGGTAAACTATTCTTCTCAGTAAAGTACCTCTTTACCCTAGATGCCCTTTATTTATCAATATAAATAGGTGATTGGGTGATATATAGGGGTAGTCATGCTTATTTTTAAATGTGGTCCCAGATGGTGGCTAGACAGGTAGGCAGAGTCAGAACACAAATCATTGTCCTGTGCATGTTAGTGTAATATTTTCAGTGGAAAAGACCAGTAATTATATAGAGACTGGACCTACTTCAGGGACTAAAATCCCTATAATCCAAAATTGAAAGGGCTGTCAAAGTCTCACAAAACCAACCTAATCAGTAGACACCCAGAGAGGATAGGAAAGAGCTGGGTAGTCCTAAGGATGGTCTCAATAACTTTAGGAGAGTGTAATGGGTACACTGAATATAAAAAGTAATAGAAGTGAAGCTGTACAATGTGCCCCATTCTTATTGAAGCTATTAGATATTCATTGGAGAATGGTTGTCAATGTTTCTGATGTCTCCCAGATAGAGGTGGGAAAAGGTAACAGCCAAGGCACCATCCATCACCTTATAGCATCCTCTGTCCACTTTCAGAGGGCATCACCTTCTCATTGAACACCAGCACATAAGGTGGAATAGTGTCTAGGACAATTTTAGAGGTAAATGATAACTAATGTGGGTCCTGAATGGACATATTCACTTGAACATGGTGTCTTGTGTTATGAGAGAGAGACTGTGAAGGTTTATTTTAATCTATTTTCAAATGCATGTAAGTGAACTCACCTGTTAGGGATTCCACCTGGCTTGAAGATTTACCACAAGAAGTAAATGGAATCCAAGAGCTAAAGAGATAGATGTAAATGTGATGTAAATAAATTTAAAAATGTATTTGGATTTATCCTTATACTGGCCTGCAGAATGTCCTCCGAAGAGTATTACGTCTGGAATGACAAATACAATGCCAAATTTCTAATTTGATGAGATGAAACCCAAACTTCATTTATAAGGTGATCACTTACATCACAGCAACTAAGATGGATCAACTGCAACAACTAATTTGTCGATGCTGTTGGAGCAAGATCCAAGATGTGTAATTTGACATAAGGTATAAAAAATTGTTCCAGGAGTCCCTGATTGATTTGGTCTTTGTAAAAGATAGCAATGAACAGCCTTGATTGGACATACGAAGAAATTGTCTGAACAAAAATCTGAGTCAGTCAGGGTAGGTAGCATAATAATTGAGAAAGAGGTGTTATCTACTCCCAGCTCATGACGTATGTAGGAAGACATTATCTGGATACTAGTATAGAACCTTCTGAGAAAATATGGTATGTGATGCACTGAGTGCATAGATATCTGAGCATCTTCCACCCCATGCAAACACAAGTAAAAAAAAATATGTCTTGAAGGAAAAATTATAAAGCAAATAGGTTGCTAAGAGTTTAGCCCATTTCCCACAATAGACAATGTATAGGAGATTGGTCCACCGTAGATGAAAGGCTCGGAACAGATCTGAAGCAATGGGGACAAAAGAGACTGATGGTTCCCATGGCATTTAAAGGTGGTAGATAAGGCAGCTCTGTAACCTGCTACAGAGGAAGCTGGTAATCCCTGATCATGAAACAAAAATATGAAAAAGTAAGCAATTTGTTAAGGAGATGGAGATAGACAAGATAAAGAATATCAAATGCACCATCTCAGGACAATAACCAGTTAAGATTAATAGACAGCAAGGGACAAACATCAGTAAGAATGGGCTACCATTTAAGCCATCTGAAAAAAGACCAAATAACTGCCAGCCATGAAGCCATAATGTTGAACACCACTGTGAAAAATTGAAGTTGGAAGCTAACGTAGAAGATGTTCCCATGGTGGTAATGAGACTGATTCCCTGTGAGAATGATGTTATTAATAGGGAAACCATCATTAAGCCTGCACAAGTGAAGGAAAAAGAGAATCTGACACTTCATGTAACTAAATGTGGCTAATATCAATGAAAAATGGTGGAAAGGAGAATGGGCATAATGGAAGAGATTCCCAATTTTAACACAGTAAACACCTTGGATATCCATCCATGTCATTTAATGTATGCATCAAAGAAATTTTTGTAATTTTAAAATATTTTCTACTTTGAAATGGAGATATCCAAGAAATGATTGAGACAAGACAGATTTATTACAATTCTTCGATCTTTAAGTCTTTTCAAAGCAAGAATAAGAGTAAAAATGTAGAGATGTGTTGCAAATAATTTTGACAGTTCCTTTTCATAAAAAATCCAACACTTCCTAATCTGCAATTTGAAGGCAATTTGAAGAAAGATAAAGGATGAAAAACAAGAAGAATGTGGCAATGAAAGTGAAAGAAAAGACTAAACTGAAGAATCTGTCAAATCCAAGGATCGCAAAGCCAAGGACCCCAAAAATGAACCTAAATGACTCCCCATCAGATCAGATGGCAGGTAAATCTGGAACTAAAGAGAGTCTCTTAGCAGATCAAATAGAACCTTATTGGAAAACCAAAGAAGATTCAGTATTAATGGCCCTAATAAACTATCAGTGCAAGTTAACAATTTAGCCAAGGGATTTTTCTGTACAACAGAAGAAGAATGTGTGAACAAAGCCTCTAAATTTGAAGGAAGTTTAGCTATTTCTGCATTAACAGGGTAAGCATTGATTTACAAAATCTCAAGCAAAGTAAATGAAGGCATGAAGTTTACAGGATGACTGACAACAAACAAATCTGGCTAGTGTAAGAAAGTAGGGTATTATGTGGTTCACCTTGGTGCTTACACAATAAATCATGTGGAAGCAGAAGAGTGGAGAACTTTGGGTAAGGTGTCATGCGTAATGCATTATGTCAAGAACATTTTGAATCAAAAGTCACGTGGTTGTTGACAGGGCAGTAATTACTCAACAAGAAGAGTCTTACAGTGTTTCAGAGGTAATCATGTGTTTCATTTGAATTCTAAAAATATATAAATATACAGTTTCTTTTTTTTTTCCCACACAGATATTAAGAGCTAGTACCATATAGATAACATATACACTCAAACTTTTGCCTCTAGTTTACCTGTATTTTTTAATTATTAATAATTTCTATTTTTTTAACCACAGATTTGTGAAGACCTCACACTAGAAAATACACACCCAGACTTCAGACTCTGGTTGACATCTTACCCATCAGAACACTTCCCTGTCACTGTTCTTCAGAATGGAGTCAAAATGACCAATGAACCACCTAAAGGACTTAAAGCCAATATCTTACGATCATACATGAGTGATCCAATAGGAGATCCAGATTTTTTTACTGGCTGTCAAAAGCCAGTAAGTTTGAAGTTCAATATTTTAAATATAAACAAAATGAAAACAGTTCTGCAAGTTTCAGTACACATCACTACTGTATTTTTTCAAAATTATTTATGATGAAAGAAGGAAATTCATAATTCCTGGTTCTTAATTATTTTCATGAATAAGAAGTTATTAAAATTGAAATGATTCTTCTTAAATTGTACAAGGCTAAATGTTGTGTAAAAAGTCTTTAGTCAAAAATAATATGTAACTAAATCAATAATAATAATATATATATATATATTATACCTTTTTAATTTTTGGTATAAAAATATAAGGAGTTTGAGGTTTCTGTAAATTAATATTTTAAACAGATATTAAATAATAGTCAATGTTTATAAATAAGAAATACATTATGTATGCATGATACCCCAGATATACTTGATTGTTTTTCTTAGAGCTGTTTTCTTAGATCACAAAATATTTAAGAAATAAGAGTTTTTGACAACTTGATATTTATATTTAGGTTTAGCAGCTTAAACGTGCATTTGGTCTGGCTTGGATATATGCAATTTCAAAAGTTTGATGTTTACATATTTTAAAGCTAAAAATTATTAGTATTCATGATAATTTAGTTCATGAAATATGTGCATTATTCTTCTGCATACTAATTTTATTTATTTATTTCTGTCAGCATGCCTTTAAGAAGCTTCTGTTTGGTCTCACCTTCTTCCATGCTTTGGTGCAGGAGAGAAGAAAGTTTGGACCATTGGGCTGGAATATTCCATATGAGTTTAATGAAACTGACTTACGTATTAGTGTTCAGCAGCTGGCTATGTTTCTTAATGAATATGAGGTGCTTATTTTGTTAATGTTTTATATTGTGGTATGTAATCATTCAAAATGATTAAAGGTGATTGTGTATCTCTTCAGCATTTCATTCATTCGTTTAACAGTAAGACCATCTGGTAAGTGATGTTTTTAAATCATACTTTTCAGAGAAGGCCCCTATCCAGTTGAATTTTAAGAATTACTATATTTTATTTCTAAGTTCCATTTATTTAAAGAAGATCTATTAGCTAATTTAGTTGCTGTTCCAAATTAATTCTCTTTCTAAGCTCTTCTTGTCTAAGTAGATCCACTGACCAATCTTTGTTTCTTTGTTTTGGTTTAATTACCAAGCCAATTGCCTATCCAGGTTACCATTTTAATTTATATGTTACACTATTCTGTATTCAACTGAATTGTCAAAGTTATATTAATCATAAGCTACAGTTATATAAGCACACTTTCTAATCAATCATGTTATGATGATCATATTAAATTAAACATATGTAAGCAACTTCTATAACTAATTTATCTGTCAAGATTACATTGTTTTCTTTTTGAGCTATACTTTAAGAGAACTATTATTGTATGTGACTAATTCAGTCCTGTTTCTAATACTGGTCTTTCAAACTCTTAATATTACACTAATTATTCTGTCAATTCTGTAGGCTTTCTCAAGTACTATGAACTGTTGACTAATAATTTTTAAGCAGTAAATATTTTTACTTTTGCACATTAATTTTCCAACTAATAGCAGTATCTTTATTACTTTATTATTTTGTTTGATTTTGTAAATGTGATTATGTTTTATCCTCATGTTTTCGTGTTATTTTAGGATAATGTAAATGTATCATATGAGGACCATTTCTAAAGAGCTTGTTGTTAAACCACATTTAAGTTTGTTCTGTATGAAAACACATTTGTAATAAGTAATTTTGTATTCTGTAAAGGAAGTTCCTTTTGATGCTCTGCGCTACCTTACAGGAGAATGTAACTATGGTGGACGAGTCACTGATGACTGGGATAGAAGAACACTTAACACTATTTTGAAAAACTTCTATTGTGAGGAAATTCTTCAAAACAACAACTATATGTTTGATTCCAAAGGTGTATATTTTGCTCCAATGGATGGTGATGTATGTAGTTTAATCAGTCTCTAGACTTTTTTTTTTAATGCTTATTATTGTCTATCTTCATAGATCAAAATATATTGACTTTACGGTAGCTATGTTTCAAATTCTACATATATTTATGTAAACCAATGGAATACTTTACAACATGCCTAAAATCTCTCACAATGTAAAGCAATGTGATATCTCTTCCTCAACTGTGTCCAATTATCCTTTTGCAACAAGCCAGGCTTGGGACTAGCAAGCAAGAATTTTTGAAAGGATGAAAATGGTGTTGGATGTAAGGGAAGAAAAAAGAAAGAAACCAATCCTGATTTATGAATTTTCACACAAACAGCTTATAGTTTGTTATTGTTGTTTCTTAGCTTAGAGTCAACAAAGGAACAATTACACAAAACTATTTTAAAATTATAATTCTTATTGTTACAGGAAAAACGTTGAAAATTCACACCCAATAGATTCAGAATCTCAAGGCAGTCACTAAAGTAAACTAAATTCTACTGTATTTGCATATAACTGATAGACTTTAACACTAGGTGAAACACCATTCAGCAACATCAAACATTAAATAATTATTTTAATTGGTGAATGGTATTTTACACAGTGTATTAACATCAAATACTATGCTATACCACTAAATTAAGTCTAATATTGCATTGTGTTTGGAAAAATAAAAAAATAAATTGAACCTGTCAGGTGATAAACAGCTAGTCATTGAAAACTAAAGGGAAAAAAAAGACATGCTGTGATGTAATGATTTTTCCTGATTATGTAATTTTCAGTTATTTTTGCTCATGTACCTATGCAGAAATCCTAATCTTCTCTATGGTCACTTTTTGTATTCTAATTATAGACTACTGGTTTTTCAACTGTATGATATCTCATTTTCTTGTTAAATATCAGATTTCTAATCATATCAATTTATGTACCAGTAATTGAATTATATTTTCTTTAGTTTGGGATTTTCATATAATTTATATAGATTTTTTTTATTACTAAATCAAATTTTCCTTTTTTTCAAATTATTTTTATTCTATAATATTATATACGTTTCAGTAAGGTATGGTTGAGAAAAGTGTTTGCTCATTTGAGACATTATTGAAAATATCTTAAGGTACTTCCTTGGAATTCTTGCCCCCTTTTTTAAGGTCACTTATCATTATACTTGTTGTTGTTTTTTTAGGAGTTTTTGTGTACTGTCTCATTTAAGTGTTGAAAGAATGGGTAATGGAACATGAATATCAATGACTATGAAAAAGAAGTATGTTATAGGTCAAACCACTAAGGAGTTAATATGTATATTTTTAATATATATAATTGTGGATACAGTGTTTCGGGCAATGCCCTTGTTCAGATATTACTAACTGAACTGAGTAAATCCATAACGAAAACATTCTAAATTGAAGGTCACGTGATGTGACAATGTATCAATGACTACAGTTAATTTAAGTGTATTTTGTTTTGGTTTGTTTCAAATTTTACACAGTGATAGACTAAAGGGAAGGCATCTAGTCAATACCACCCATTGCCAACTCTTGGGCTGCTCTTTATACCAATGAATAGTGGGATTTGCTGTCACATTATAATGCTGAAAGGGTGAGCATATTCAGTATGACAAGGATTTGAACCTGCAACCCTCAGATTGCAAGTCAAGCATCCTAATCACTAGGCCATGCCAAGCCATTAAGTGTCTTTCTTTGGATTGAATGTATTGATATATTAAGATTATTATTTGATAATCTATGAATGAAAAGTCTGATTTCCAAAACATAAATATCTCCACTCCCACTTATAGCTATTACTTGACTGGTGGTGATGACTAGCTACCTTCCCTCTAGTCTTACACTACTAGATTAGGGACGGCTAGTGCAAATAGCCGTCATGTAGCTTTGCACGAAATTCAAAAACAAACAAACAATATCACACCTAAATTCCCAGATTCTTCTTTCAGAAGAACCAATGCAAGCTTCATTCTCAGAACTGAGACATGTATTCTTGCTCCAACTCAATAGGTCGTCAGTCTGGGTGTTTTTTTTTTCATAACATATCTTAGTCTGGCTCAGGCAACTCCATGTTATGGAACAGGAAGCTCGACTTTTACTCCCCCCTCCTTCTCCCATGGCATGGATCATTCTTTCATACAAAATACATTTTATGTCTTGTTTTTCCCAGCAAAGGGCACTTTATCCAGGGGTTCTTGTTTTCAAACCTTGGATTTCCTTTATCAGGACCACTCCAATCATATCACCCTATTAGCTTGCTATGTTCCACAGGTGATGACTGTAGCAGCAGAGCAATTGTCTCGACCCAACAGAATATATGCTACATTGCAAGGTTTTCTGTTGGATTGGCTCTCCTTTTGAAACACTTTTGATTAGTGGGTTGACCACTGATTGGAACACCTAACTACTGGAAATTTGGTCTTCAGTACTTCACCTTTGGGCTTTGGCAATGGTTGCATTCTGTCAGGACGGGATGAAATTACCACCCTATGAATTCCTTCCAATTCATATGATACCCAAGGTCCTGTTGATAGCACCAGATTGGCAGCTACACCCTGGTTTCTGCTTCTGTTGTACCTTAGGAAGTGCCAACCTCTTCCACTTCATCTGTGGAAGCAACCATGATCTAACATGGTACACCCAGCTATTCAGAAGCTCATGCTTCAGGCATGGAGACTATGTCATCCATCGTACAGGTTTAATATCTAGGGTTGCAATGTATCTTTCTCAGGCTTTGCTTAGTCCCACAATGAACATTTTTAATGGAAATGGCACACATTTGGGCAATATAACTTGTTTTTTGACCTAATTCTTTGGCAAGGGTTTTGCATCATCCACAATCTTCCTATATATGGTGGCCTTATTGACTACCATTCAAAACTCGAGACAAAACTTCTTTGGTTCCCCAGTACTCTCCGGCTTTCTCAAGTCGCTTTCAGTCCTTTATCCCAAATGACCATTCCAGTTAAGTAACTGGTATATTAAGGTTACATTACATGTCCTTTCTCAATACACCTTAGCACCATATGTCATGTATCACCTTTACCTGAAGGTTTAAATTTTGTGGCTGCTAATCTACTGACATTGCCAGTCAGAAAGGTTTGTGCTGATTATCCACAGGATGCTTTATCATCATACCTACGTTCTCAGACCAGTTATTCTTCCCAACAACACTGTCAGCCACAGAAGGGAATAAATACTTTTCACCAATTCATCTGATCACTGTTTCTCACTTCTATGACCAATCAGGTTTCAATCGTTTGTTCTGTCCAGTTAGGGTGTTGAAGGTTTTGTTGCCCACACTAATGTTTTTCATGTGGCTAAACAATAACTTTTTATTCATTGGGATCATTCAGTTTCCAGGATTCATCCCCAGTTACATTGACAAGGTACAAAACTGCTTATTCTGGGCTTTTTTGAAGGCAAGGAATCATCCATGAGTCACATCTAATCAGATTAAGCATATTTCTATGTCCTTAGCTGCCTGGTTGAATTGCTGTTGGCTGGTATGTGGACCTCCCCCAATTCTTTTATTTCATATTATTTGCATGATATAGCAGTATCTTTATCTGAGGGTGTTTGACTACCCCAGGTAGCTATCTTAACAATTTCTGCTACATTATACAGAGGGGTAACTATTTTCATTGCTACACTTGTCTCTTGTTTACTTTTTAGGGTCCCATACCTTGTTTTCACAGGATCCCACTTTGTGGCTTTTATCAAACCAATTCCACACTAGAAACCACTATTTCAGTATACTTTATACAGGTTGCAACAGGCTCTGTAGAAGTGAGGTTTTCCATAAGACCACCTAGGAGCTGACCAGGTGGTATTATGGTACTATGCTGGACTACCTTGAGTAAAGCATAAGGGGATCCTACCATCCCTGCCAATCATTGGATTGAATAAATCGGGGTGAGTTTGCTTTTGAAAATTTAGGGAACTTGGTTCACCTATTGCACTGTTTCCAGAGCACTGTTCCTCAGGACTCCCAATCACACATTACCCACCAGATTCTACTAGTAAAGCTAGAGAGTTCTTACCACACCCAGTTTCCAGTCACTGGGGGTGGTAGATAGAGGCTTTTTCTCCAGAGTGTTAGAGTGAATACCTCCACTCTTATTGAAGAGGATGAAGTTTGGAGCTCTCCTTCCCTGGTCCCTGGGTGTTTTTCCCAAATGTCAGTAGAAGTGGCAGCAGCCTACATGGGAGCCTACTCATAATACCAGTCACATTTGACACTCCACTATCTGTTTGATCAATATAGATTCTTTACATTGTACATGGAAGAGGGTCAACTATCTCCTCGTACTTTCAAATGTGGATTGGTCCCATCCTGGGCCCTTGGTTGAGCACAGTTGTTCTACGTCCTCCCCATAATTCTGGGGGGCAAGCAAAATGTACCTAGCTCACACAGTTTGGGAGTGAGGATGAATGTTCATAATTCCAGCCCGGATGAGTTCTGTTTCCTTTGGTTGAATAAGGCATACTCAATCATCTATGGCTACATGTTGGGATCTACTCATAAGTATATATATATATGTGTGTATATAATGTTGCAGTCCAATTGCCTTAGCCACCAATGTGGAATATAGGGACTGAGACCCATTAATTCGAACCCCAAATAGTGGAACCTTGGCTATCTGGTTGAGGCTGGCCTATAGCGATGATCACTCATGTACAATTGTACTCACAATACAGGAATCAAGTTCAGGGTGAAGAGCATACCTGTACTGGATGTAATGTGGTTTCCCCCACTAGGGTGCCAATCTTCTATTGACACACCCATGATCTATGCAGACACTTTCTGTATGGATAATGCCCTCACCAGCCCTTCCTCATTCTCAGTGTGGGATTCTAGTTATAAGTGGAAGTATGTATGTTTTGGAAGTTAACATTTTCCTAAATTGAAAATGTATTTCCAATAATACCTCCGCTGACACTCTCCCGCCTTTCCTTCACACTAAGAGCCGATTGTTAGAGACTGCAGATTGAGTCAGTCTCGAAAAAGTGATAACATTATGTGAATGAGGTGCTTTTACACAGTATCAGGATAGAAGGTGCATCGATGTAGGTGGGGTGTTATGAGACACATATTGCCAAGGGCAATTAAGTGGGATATAAAAGACTGGAGGAAATGAGAAAAAATCTGACCAATGCTTAGATGGGCAAATGAAGAATCCCTGGCAGTCAAGTAATAGCTATAAGTGTGAGAGGAGGTAAGTATAATTAAAAATACATTTTCAATTTAGAAAATGTTAACTTTCTGTAAATAGTTTGTTTATTTACTTAATATTTACCATAAATTAAAAACATTCATACTACTGTATATTTATGTATAGTACTGGGTGATTACTGGTATTTAATAATTCATTAACTGACAGCCTCATTAATTAATTATTTATATTCAATACAATGTTCTTCAAACCAATGTGCTTAACAAAAAAAAAAATGGCCATAGTTGCTGCTAGCCAGTTGACTTTCCTCCAATCACAAGTTCGAGATGAAAAAAAAAGATTGGTGACAGGTGCTGCCAGTTAGTTGCCTTCTTTCTCTTCAGTTGGGAAGTGACAGTGGTAGATAGCCTTAATAGCTTTGCCATAACAAAGACAGGGCAAGCAGGTTTGATGGCAATATTTTGATTATTCTTGTAGTTGGAATAATCGAAAAAAACTAATAACCAGAAACTCTAATTTTGATTAGTTAATAGTTTTCTTGACAATCAAGTTAATCAGAAAATCAATTAATCTATTGCTGGAATAATCAAAAAACAGTTATAATTAGAAACACTAACTTCAATTACTTGGTTGTTGGAATAACTAAAAGTAGTAACAATTAGAGACAGTAATTTAGATTCATCAGTTAAATCATCCAGCTCTACTTGCACTGCTTCTTACACATTTTGAAGTGATTGAAAGATTTAAATCCATCTTTAGTATCAGAACTACATAGAATATACCAAAAGTCTACCCATCATAGCTGAACCCGAGGTTTTTGGTATGCATCCTAATGCTGATATCAAGAAAGAACAAGCTGAGACAAAGCAATTGTTTGATGGCATCCTATTGACTCAGGTTGGTTATCAATTTGAAAGGTTTGCTACTTTTAGTCTTGTTCATAACATTTATAAGCTTAATACTATTATGTGCAGTGATAAGTAGACATGTAAGCTAATATTTGAATTGAAGTTGTCAAGATGTGCATGATTAATAACACATGATTGCTAGTAAATACAAGTTTAAAATTGCTAATTATGATTTTAACATGTAAAAGTTTTGTATTTTCTAAGAATGTTAATGCTTGTTAATGTATAAAAATGAAGTATTTTATGATTATGGCTAATAGTTTTGAAAGAGCAGTGGTTGTTTGCATACATAAATTATTAGCAAATGTACTTTATATTGCAGTAATCAGAGTGAATGGAAATTATTGAAAGGGAAATTTATTCATACTTTTTACTTTGACAAACTTTTTAGCACTACCTCTAGATGATTTCTTGATTAATTCTTACACCTGCAGGCTCGTACTACCTCAGGTGGAGGCAAATCTGCAGATGATATTGTGTCAGAGGTAGCTGCAGATATTCTTTCTAGATTGCCAGCAGTTTTTGATGTTGAAGCAGCATTACAAAAATACCCTACATCTTATAAACAAAGCATGAATACAGTTTTGGTTCAAGAAATGGGACGTTTCAACAGTCTTCTGACAACTGTACGAACGTCTTTAGTAAATCTTCAAAAAGCAGTAAAGGTGTGTTTATCTATTGATTATCAGGTAGCTGGAAAGATATGTTGCTATTTTTTGTGTAACAACACTTCAAGAAAGTATAAAGGTATTTTTCTGTAGTAAAATCTTCAAAAAATTTTTTTAAAACAAATCTCAGAAATATGTAAAAATTTTTCTCTTTCATACGTCATCAAAAGTTATGTGAACCTTTTTTAATGATGTGAAATTTTATTTTTGCCAATTTTGAAAGCTGTGTTACACATTTCAAATTTGTTTTTACATCATTAATTTTTACTTGACCTGTTTAGTTGTGTCGTCATCATTGTTTTTAATGCAAAGCTACACAGTTTTGCAAGTCCATAAACTTACTGCTGACCCACCAGCAGACACGTATGTCAAGAAAAAGTTTAGAATTATGAATAAAAGGTCTATTTACTAGAACAATCAGTGTGCAAAAACTACTTTTATGAACATTTCCTATAATCATAAATTAAAACTACTTAGTTGTTGTTATCTACCTCAGAACTTATTGAGATAGAGTCTATCGACATTTTCTAAGTAATCATATGTATGTCTTTTGTACCCTTATCATTTGACATCATATCAGTATCGACTGGTGATTATAATTGGTATGGTGTCTGTATATCTTATTTCAGTAGAAGAAATTCTAGTGGATCTATATTTTATTTTATTCAAATGAATTTATAATGAGTATACACATATTACATTAAATAATACATTAGATCTCTTGCTGTAACTTCCTAATACCTGTAGGGACTGGTGGTCATGTCCTCTGAACTAGAACAAGTGGCCAACAGCATTCTTCAGGGTCGAATTCCAGCCCTCTGGATGTCCAAGTCTTATCCTTCTTTGAAGCCCCTTGGAAGCTATGTCAATGATTTCTTAAAGAGACTACGATTTTTACAGGTGAAGAGTTTTATTTTCATTTTATTTAATGATACGTACTGATAATTTATCAAAGCTGCAAGAAAGGACTTAGCATTAAAGCTCAGTATATTTTTAATATTTTATTCTTCCTTAACCAAATATTTCTTACCTACTGTTTAACAAAATGCACATCATATATTGTGTATTTTATTATCTAGATGACAACACATTCTTCAAAAAATTATTTTTTAAGTGTTGACAATTAACTGAAACTCACCTCAATCCTAAAAACAATATTTAAAAAAAAAAGAGTACTTATATATATATATATATATAGTTATTTTTTGTGTAGCTTTGTTCAAAATTTATGGAAAATGGTTAATTGAACTGTATAATACTGCAACCTAACAATTTATTTACAGGAGTGGTATGACAATGGTCCACCTTCAGTTTTCTGGTTGTCTGGATTTTTTTTCACCCAAGCCTTTCTGACAGGAGGGCAGCAGAATTTTGCTCGAAAGTATACCATTCCTATAGACTTGTTGACGTATGACTATAAGGTGCTAAAAGAAAAAGAATATGTCAGTCCTCCTGAAGATGGTAAGAGTTTCTAGTCTTGTACAATTAAGCAAGACATCTTAGAGTAGAAAACATGCAGGGGATTACAAAATACATTGATCAACTATATACTTAAGTTTCAAAGCATTAAATAATCTTTTTCTTGTTTCTGGGACATATTAGCTGAAGTTTATTACTCTCCAGGTACTTATATTCCAGTATTATGTTTGCATAATTATTATTTAATTAGCAGGTTTTTACAGGAAGTTCTAGGAATTGACTCACAGACTTGATGAGAAATACAACTAGTTGATTTATTACAAAAAAATGGACATCATAGACTTATTAAAGCTTAACAGAACAATTTGCTACATAGTAACATATTCTGATTAAATTGCAAGTTATTTGCATTTACAAAACATGAGGTCTTAATTACCTCACAGGGCATTCAATAAGTTATTTTTCAATTGCTGCAACTAGTTGTTTTGATTACCATGGATATTTATTTATCTTTTTTTTCACAAAGTTTTTGAAATAACTTGATTAAACATTCCAGAAAAAATGGCTTATTATTCAATAAGCATTATATTCCTACATCTGTTGGCAACTTGCAAATAATGTAAGCCAGGCCCAGATTAAATCATAATTAATTGTTTTTTTATGAGCAAAAACATTTAAATGGCCTTGATAATCCACATTCTCCAGTGTAAGTTTAAAGTTTTTCAATCTATTGATAGCTTCAGTGTTCTTAAGTATAGTGACATAGTTATTCTAGATGTTATTGCTTCAAGTCATGGTAACTAGTAAAGCCAATTTATAATTATATGTGACAATAGTGTAAGTTCATAATGATTTGTTTGTTTATTTGTAATTAAGCACAAAGCTACACAATGGGCTATCTGTGCTCTGCCCACCACGGGTATCAAAACCCGGATTCTAGCGTTGTAAGTCTGCAGATATACCACTGTGCCACTGGGGGGCAGTTCATAATGGCATTATGCTTTTCTCAAGAGTGTGAATTGTAAAGGTATTTTACAATTTTAAAAAAAGGACAAAATTACGTTGCTATCACTTTATACTTTTTTTACAAGACCATTTGGTTTATATCTTCGTTTATCTTATACAATATGTAACCTCCTCTCACATATAGCTTTCCAGATTCACTGCTACCCTCTATATTGAAACTTTTTCACTCACCACTGGCCCTGATACTCCAACCTAAAATTAAGTGTTTCCTCGTGATATTGCTGTCCTGTTGAATGTAAATAAGCATGCAATAACTCTCCACTATTCAGAGTATGACACACCCTCCTAGCACAGTTGGCTCCCTCTATACTGATTTTTCGATCATCACTTTTCCATTTGGAACTCATGTTTAAAGACTTTTTTTTTTCACTCGTGAGCTTTTGAGATATAGGCATTTTTTTGTGGAAGTACCTATAAAAACACTAACTGTTATGTAAATATTAAATTTTCCAACTTTTCTTCTGCAGATTTCATGGCCTTTACTTGTACATTATTAATTCAGAAATGAAGGTAACTTCCATTTTATCTGGTGTTGGACAACAAGATGCTTTCTGATATAATACCTTATCTCCTCTCTCATAATAGCTTTTCTCGTTCAGTGCAGCCCTCTATATGCACAATTTTCACTTGATACTACCACCTACCCTCACATATATACTTGTGGTACAGCTGCACTGTAGCATACAAATAAGCATGCAATAACACTTCACCAGTAGGAGTGTAACACACCTTCGCACAGCTGACAATATTCACTTTTCGATTTGGCATTTTAGAGTGCAAACATGTTTTTTTTTTCTCTCATTTTCACTTCATTTTGTTTAAACTTGCGTGAATTTATTGTGGAATAGTTTCGTTTACCCACTTGAGGTTGTTACAATATCATTATTATGACTTCGACTACTGTCATGATTCCACTACTATACAACAACCTGTGGCTTCGAGCTTCACTGTTTGTATAGAGAAGGTCTCGCCTTGGATTGTCACAAATTGAAATGTATAATGCAGCCTGTTGTGTCTCTTGACCAAGGCCATTGTACCAATCCCTGGTGAATCTAGTTTGGATGATGACATTTTGGATAGACTTTTTCCTCCACCTTCTTTTGCTATACAGTTCCACGCTAATCCTATGGATGTTTTCATGCTTTTGTCCACCATTCCTTGACGTAATTTCCCAGGTAGTTTACTTTTTGTTTGATTATCATATTCCCTTCCCTCTCAGAATTTTCAGATCCATGCTGTTCAGTATGTAGCCCAGTTAAGTTCTGGGGTCAGCATACCTCTAATTACTGGACTTCCAGGCCTTTGAGCTTTTAATTCAGGGATGGTGTTCAAACATTGTAACTGCAATATGATTTCCAGGCCCACTTTAATCATTTTTGTCTCACCCTCACCACCATCATTTGTTACCTTTCCTTTCTACTTTTTCCCATAGCTATCCACCATTCCCTAAGGGATTTTTCATGGTGACTCATACCCTCTTCTTCTTTCTCTCCTTTTTCTTTACATACTTGGCTCCTCTGTTGAGATTTCTAACAGTTTGGATTTCCCTCCCTTTCATTCCCCATTTGTATTCCCACTCTGATCCAGATCATCTTATTTGCTCTGTTCGTGCTCTCTAGTGTTTTGTTGCTCATGGTTTTGTTGCCACCATGTTATCCATTAGAATCTTTCCTCTACCCGAGACCTTTCTCCCGTGAACCTTACAGTTGTTGGTTTCACCAACTTCTTTAGTTGGCTTGTTCTTTCTTATATTCTACTTCCCATTGTACTTTCCTGATTTCCTCACACCAGGACCATCATCACCCCTCCTCTCTTTCTCTCTCTGGCTGCCCACTTCCATTGTCTGTTGGTGGAGATCATGCAGACTGGCATGTGGATCACACTACATACCTTCATCACAAATTCTTTGTCACATATGGCTATCTCCTGCTCCTCCTCTGGATACCAATTACAGCTCATTGCCATTCTACACTCCTTGATTCAACTTTGAGTTGACTTTTAAGGTCTATAACACTCACTGTTGAGATGGGGTGTTTCACAAGACTGCTAAAGATTCCCTCATGGTATTTTGCTTCATAAATTAGGGCCAACCAGGCTTTACCTACTCATGGACTACCATGAGTATAGCAGTGTTAGGATTGCTGTCCATCCCCCTGCTCCTGGTTGAATAAATTGGGACTGGCCTGCTTTTCAAAACAGGGTTTTTGTGGTCACCCATTACACTGTCATCCAGTGTTGCATGCCTCCAGACTCTTCATCACCTTGTTCCCTCTCTTCCAGTGGAGCACGGGAGTCCTTACCACTTACCAGTTCCTAGCTGCTGAAGTGATGGACCCTAGAGGCTTCCTCCTGAGTGTGCCCTTTCTTGAACTCCTGGAGTCAGATTCTCTATCTTCTGTGCACCTTTCTCAGACTCAGTTTTTCTGACCTGTCTTCCACTCACCATCAATTTATGCCATCTTTCCTCCATGTACCTTCTTTTTCAGGCAATTCACTGTAACCCTGAGGGTTGTTTTTTGGCAGATACTTGTTCACTTCTCTACTTTGGCATGTTTATCTCCTCAGCCTTATCACGTGATACTTAGTTGATCTGTTGCTGGATTTGTTGGAGCGAAATGCCTTTCTTGCTCAAGTGTGCTTGTTTCACTCTTATCTCAGAATACTTCATTTGGCTCCTTTCCTCTGCCAGTACCTGATTCTCTGTAGTCACATGTTCATGACCCATGCCAAAATTTTCCTTATCCTCACTTCTTTCCCATCTCATCTCTCTGATGCTCCTTCTTTACCCATTTCTGTTTCCAATCCTCCTGCTTTCTCTCCCTGTCCCCCCTTCCATTCCTCTGCTCCCATTCAGTTAGCTCAATTTGTTGATTTTTGCAGTCCATTTGAGGTCTATCATTGGGTGTTGTATGTTTTGTTAGAGGGTCTTACCTTTCATTTTCTATTCTTCCTCCTTTGTTTCCTGTTACTTTCCCCCATTCAAGGGATCCAGTTTCATGTTAGCATCTGTCAGAGGCAGTAGCAGACCTATTGGCCAATGATATTATCAATGGATTTTTCTTCCTTCTCCAGGATTTTATTCCTGTCTGTTTGTCATTCCCAGGAAAATTGTGAATTGGTGTATGGCCCTAGATCTTTCACATCTCTGTCAGTATCTCGACCTACCTTAATTTACCATGGAGACCTTTCTTCACATCCTACAGTGATCTTTTGCTCTGTGATTTTGGATGACCAAGGTGGACATCTCACTATTGGAAGCAAATGTTTTCCAATACTGAAAATGTATTTCTGATAGATACTTATCTCTTCTCATACTTCCCACTTGCCTAATCTCGAAGTGACCATTGAACAATCAGTATAGAAGGGGCCAGTTTTACTAAGAGGGTTGTTGTCTGCTTATTTGTATGCAACAGTGCAGCAATATCACGTGGAAACACATAACTTTAGGTGGTAGTCTAAAAATTAGTGGCAAGCAAAAAAGTTATTGTATAGAGGACAGCACTGAATCAGGAAGTTATATGCAAATTGTTATAGGCTTTCAAAGATTCAAAAGGTTGTTTGCTGATAGATAGGCATTTCAGTTATATTTGTGAGGTTTCAGGTTGCTGAGAACTTTTGAGCAATGGGATAGGTTCACTGAACAGAAAGTTTGACAAGATATTTATTACAAAGTAGTACTGAATTGCTGAATAGCTGAGTCTAAGAAGGAAAGATACTGGGTACAAAATATTATACAGAATGAACAGTCTTTATTAATACTCAACTGCATAATGTGTGTGTGCTTGTTTTCACAAATGGGGAATGGTTGTTTTTACTGGATGAGATATCTTCCATTGATCAGGCAGAAATCATCTACCACATTGTTTAACCTCAATGTTCTTTACTTTGCAGGTAATGTTTGATTTACCCAGAGCACCCATCTCCACCTGCATAACTAGTCATACTTATTCAACCATGGATGGGGGCTCAAGATACCACATGACCTACTGTTAAAGTATACAGCAGTGTATAATGTTGCACAATATGCAGCAATACAGCCATGCCTCCAATGAGTAGAACAGAGATGACATCAAGAGAATGGCAAGAAAAAAAAGCAACTAGGATGACATTGACTTAACCTCTTTGTCATGTCATGTAAAAACTGCACACGTACTGAATAACTGATGAACCCATAATTATACCATATCACAATAGGAAGGTAGAAATGCATGGTATCTTTATATACCACATATTTACCTAATAAAATAGTACAATTATTTGTGTTTGTGGTTCATATTAGTCTGATGTCAACTAATTTTTAAATACTTGTATTTCAGGTGTATATGTCCAAGGACTCTTTTTGGATGGGGCTAGATGGGATCACGAAGAATGGCAACTAGGAGAATCTCTTCCAAAAGTTCTCTTTGACCAACTCCCAGTGGTTAGTAGTCTGAATTCTTTTTGCACATATTTTCTACATGGCTAGCAGTTGTAAGTAATATAGCACTATTTGAAGTGCAGTAAAGCAGTGGCATAGGAAGTGGGGGACCCGGACCTCCTCATTTTTCAATCTGTCCCTGTGAAAATGCATCAGTATTAGGAAAATTACTCCCAGGAAAAGCAGAAGAATACATAAGATTTAATCCAGAACCCAAGAGCTTCCAGGGCCCTGAGGCAAGTCCTGCACCCCGGCAGTAATGGAAGTGCCTGTGGCACACGTTCCCTCAATTCACTCAGTCAAATAAACCTTGCCTCCCCCCCACACACACTTTTAACTTGCCTCCTACACCTCTGTACAGTATGTTTGACTAAAATCTCCGTAAATATTTCTTCTGCTACAGGTGAGGTTGAAATGTTGGTAAAGGCAAGGTTAGAACCATCTACTATTGTGGCTTATGATGTGGCTTCATGTTATTTATAGGCAAGTTTAAAACCATCATCAGGTACTACTTCATGTTACTGATATGGGCATGGTTACAACAGTTGGTTGATACTTCTTGCTACTAATGTGGCTACAAAAGAGTAAATATAAACCAAATTGGGAATCTTGGTAGCTATTTTTTCTGGCTACATGTTACTTATAGGCAAGATTAGTATTCATTTTATATTTCTTATGGGTTTAAAAGTGACTGAAGTGTTAATTAATGAATGACACTTACTTTATCAAATGTTGTTATAGTGTTCTCTTAGACATAGCTGGAAAAAACAGTAGATACTTCTGTCTACTGATATATATGAAGCATATTACTAGCAAGGTTAAGAAACTTTTTTCTTTGCCTACTGATATGGTTGGAATGTACTTATAGGTAAGTTCAGGACCATCACTAGGTACATTTTCTGGCTACTAATGTGGCTACTGAGCACTTATAGTGAAATTTAGAACTGTCACTAAGCGTTATTTTTTCTGGTTATTGATGTAGATAAATTGCTACTATGGGCAGTGTTTAAACAATCAGTAGACATTGCTTTTAACTATAATGTGGCTACAGGGTATTAATGGGCAGGTATTCTCTGGCTACAAATGTGACAACAAGTTACTTAAAAGAAAAGTTAGGACTTTCAGTTGATAATTATTATGACTACAGAAGTAACTGAAATTTTTCTATAGGCAAGATTAGTTACATCAGTAAATTTTATATGATCACTAGGCTGGATTATTAATTTCCTTTTCTATTTTTCCTGACTCCCTTAACACTGAAGTCTGAAAATGTGGTAGCTTTGAATTCCTCACATTCTATTTCTTTTGGATTCAGGTATGGCTAAAACCTGTCCATAAATTAGAGTGTCAACAAACCCCCAGTTACCTGTGTCCAGTCTACAAGACCAGTGAAAGAAGGGGAACTCTTTCTACAACAGGCCATTCAACAAATTTTGTCATCTCTATGCGCCTACCAACTGATCAACCAGAGAACCATTGGATTTGTAGAGGAGTGGCCCTACTTTGTCAGTTGGATAACTAAAAGTAAAACTGTATATGTTAGTTAGTTATTTCTAGCTATAAGTTTAACACCACAATTTCTTTATAAATGGATAACACAGTCATACGTGTTGTATCCAACATATTCTTTCTAGCCACAACTTTAACATTTCATGATTTTTACTTTTTTAAAACCTGGATTATTAAAACTGGAAATTATAAAAGTTAAAGGAAGCATCTTTCTATATTGTTCCTAGCCATAAATTTCATGTATGATAATTTCCACTGCTTGAAGACTAGGTAACTAAAGATGGACCTTATTTATGTTAAAAATATGCATGTATTGTAAATTTACTAGTAATAAGCTAAGTATATCGTCATACTTTTTAATACAATCTAAAATTAAGCATATTTAATTATTATTCCTATAGACTACATTAGTATACCATAATTTCTACTGCCTAAAAATGATATATATGTATGACTAAAAATCATATCATCAAAAAAGCATGTACCTTTACTGTTTCTAGTCACATATTTCACACACACTGTCATTTTTATAACTTTAGAACTGTATATCTGAGGCTGTAGAAAAATTGTTACAAAGGCATTTATCCTTATTTATCATAGACACTTGCTTAACATATACCTCTTTTCAACTTATTCAAACCGTATAGCTAACACTGGAAATATTCTGTTGAAAAAGCATCTATCCTTGTTCCTAACACTTCTTTGATTTACCATCATTCTTACTGATTCAAAACTCAATAATCAAGACTGGAAATAATCTGTTAAAGAAATATAAGTCATTATTGTTTTTAGCCATGAATTAAATATCCATTATTTTTTCCATTTGAAAAATAGTCCATAAGTAAATCAAAACAACAAAAAAAGACCAAGTTTACAAGTGATGAGAAATGGAAAAGCTAACTGAACTGTATCAGTTTATTCTGATTAAGAAGTTAGCACACAAGATCACAAACAAAAGTTGAAATGGTTTTCAAACAAAACCCAAAACTCAAGTGCTTTCAAATAGTTGACTATTCTTCTTCAGGAGAATAAAGGGTTATGTTTAATGAGTGTGTTGGAATATATAGGCAAACCTTTTTTATTCTCCTGAAGAAGAATATTGTACAGGTTTATGACAGACTTCAAACTGGTAATAACAAGACTCATAAATCTTTCATTACTGCTCATCCTAAACTCTACTTATACTAAAACTGTCAGAACTTGCTGCACTATACTATCTAACAGCATGTGCTGGACTGCTTAATTTAATTTCCTGTCTTATTAGCATGTATTCATTTATTTTTGTGGATAGGCACCAAGTGGTAGGACATACATATGTCTCTTTGCATTGCAAGGAGATCCAAGTGGGACAGCGGTAAGTTTTCAGATTTAAAATCGTGTTCATGTTCCACTGTAAATTTCATATTTACTATTCAAAATGGTTTAAAAAATCACTAACCTATGTTTTTGAATGAAAACAACAAATGATTAATCCTTATACCATTTATAATAAAGTGACTTAAAATGTATTGAAATACTATTTAAGCCACTGTTTTTTAACAAAGCACAAACAAATTAACCACTATACATTGCTTTCAAAAGACCGAGAAATTTGAGAGCTTTCAGAGAGTCAACTCTTCAAAAGCTCTCAATTTTCTGAGTTTTTTGAAACGAAACTTATTTAATTTTTTGGTGATCCTTTGTGCTAATTCTTTCATCACAGCTTAACCATATTGTTGGTAGTTTAATGTATTGTTTATTACATCATAAAAGAAAAAATTAATTAGCACATAAATCAATAGTTTGGTTTAAAGAAATATTAGTTTGTAAAAATCATTAAGAAAAGTAAAATTGTCCTCTAAGTTATAAAAGTAAACAGCCTAATAGACTATGATCATAAATATCAATATTGGAGTTACAGAAGAGTCGGGTTATTGAGCTTTAGACATCCCATACTCAATTCCCTTATTGAATCCAAATTTTCTAATTGTTTTTAAAAAACTATGATATTGTCTTTAACTCCAAAAAGTTTGCAACCATATAACTAGTTTGTGGTGTAATAGTTTAGCTGCAACATTAAACTAACAAATTTAATACTTTGTGGTATTGTAAAATAAACTTAATCACTGGGTGAATTACTAGACTATAATAATAATGGAATATTCAGTAAGGTTTGCATTGTAAAATGCCAATAAGTTTGAATTGACTGCAAATGAAAAAGACTGACACAAACTTTTATTGAATAAAAACACTATATAACAAATCACCAGGGAACTCTGTGATCGAACAGAAAATTGTGATACTTTCTCTTTGTTTTTCAAGGTTGGCTTAACTGTATTAGGCTACTGAGAGTGGACATCACTTGACAAAATTCTGATATGAGTTCACAATACAAACACTTATGCAAAAATCTGAGCAATATCTAACTTTACCTGGAATTATATTCAACCTTATGTTCTTTTAGGGATCCTTGAATGCCACATCATCAAGAAAACCCCATTAATGGAAAAGAGAAATCAGAGGTTTCAGTATCTCTGTCTTCACCCATGACCAACCTGCCAGAAAGTTATGTTAAAAAAATTGTTCAGCAAGTTGACCAGGTGTGAAAATAGGCATGTCTGAGGCCAAGCTTAGGACCACATGTAAACAATCTAACACAGTGAATTTACCATACACAGATCAACATTCTATGTATGTTAAGAAAAATGTAACTAGTCTTTCAAACACAGTTTTACCTTAAAGATGTAATTACCAAAAATAAGCAGTTGTTTATAACTTAACAAGTTTACGTGTCCTAACTATACAAAGGAGTATGTGTATCCACTAGAATTAAAAAACATGTTCTGATTAGAAGAATAGTTCACCATGAATTGTCATTGAGTTGCAGTGAATGCTTACAGTATTGATATTGTGAGTAGAAGTGAGAATAAACAGCAGTTAAGAGTTTGCAAGATTCTTATGATTGCAGATGGTGAAGATGTACCACCACCCTTGACCTGAATAAGTTGCTGCTGTTGTTCTGAAATAAATGTTCTTAACTACAACAGGTTACCACAAATGTTATGTGCAATTTATCTCCAATATTGTTTCAAAAACTCAGGTAGGGAATGACAACTGGAAAGTGTAGTTTAACCTTTCAAATTACATTACTCACAAAACTTAAAGGATAATGAGGTTTGTTTAAATTTGTCTGTTATCAATTTTTATTTTCAAATTTACCATGCTTGTAATACAGGATTACACTAATCCTACCTAGGGATTGCAAGATTATGCACCAATGATTCCTTATGTAATAGTCCTTTATGATAAATGATCCAAATTCTGCAAAGTAAAAGGGTAATTTCAGATAATTAGGAAAGTTGTTTACTGTTGAGATAATGCTAGGTTTATGAATTTTTTTGCTGGTATTGGCATTTGAAAAGAGTGTGCATGCTGATAGAACCAATCAACTGAAACTAAAGTTTGCAAAGCTGTCACACTGCTTTGTGGTGGCTGCATCCAGGCCGAAGTGGCACAGGTCTTGGGGGTGGCACAATTTGTGGCCAGTAGATTGTGGTACAAATACCAGGCCAAATGAAAATACACCAAGTGGCCAGACCAGAGTAACAGAAGGGCAACAGGTACAGAAGATGACTAGTGTCTGTAGAACTTAGCCTTTAGAAACCACACCAGGAGCACTAGGAGCCTCAGGAATGAGCTTCAGCAAGCCATTGGAGTGTTTGTATCATACTCAACAGTCAGGAACAAGCTCCATGAGGCTATGCTTAGGTTCAGGATATCAGTTAAAGCCATTGTACTAACTCCAAGGCATCAAACAACCCAGCTGGCACTTACCCAGAAACATGTCACCTGGACTCTTTAGCAGTGGGCCCCTGTACTGTTCACAGATAAGAGCAGCTTCTGTATATCTTCAAATGATTAACATGTGAGGGTCTGAAGACATGAAGGAGAGCAACATTTGGCCTGTAACATTGTCCATCATCATGCCTTTTGGTGTGGATCAGTCATGGTCTGCGGTGGTATCTACATACATCAAACCTCATTATTTAATTTGTTTACCTGCAGTATTTGTAATAAATAAGTTTCATTGATATGAAATGACATGAAAATGTTTTATAGAATTAAGTTCTGGGTGGGCTATATTCTAAGAAAATAATATTATTACTTTAAAACAAAGCTTGGGTCATACATGCTGTGTGGTAAGAAGCTTTAATCTGCTGTAACAACACATTACTCAAGCTGACCAAAACACTACTGTGTTGCCTAGCATGTACTCACTTAGAATCTATTGCTATCCATGGATATTTAGACAAAGATAATTCTCAAATAGCTCTCACGTGTAATCTGTTGAATACAATTCCCACCACAGCCATTCACAGTGAACACGACAAAATTACTAACAAATTATTTACTTTTTACCTAAGACTTGTATTCTGGCATTACTTTAAAACACGGTGAAGCTCTCATCATGCTACAAAATTTATAATCACTCATAAAACTGATTCATGGTTTGAATATATAAGCTCTTACAAAGTGTTAACGTTTGTGGAGACTTCACGGACTTCATATGTGGTATCTGTTCACAAGAGACCACCCTAGTTGTAATAAAGTCACAATGAATTTTTTATCAAGATACTATTTGATACACATTCACAGTCCTAAAATGTGAACACTTTTCATGTACCAACAGATATTTTTTAGTCATTTAAATCTTGTAAAAGTCTCAGTTTAGAGTGCCTGCACCAATAGATCTTTTAGTTTTTGTTTGCATCATTCATGTCAGTGTCTTGTAAAAGCCTCAGTTTAGAGTGCCTGCACCAATAGATCTTTTAGTTTTTGTTTGCATCATTCATGTCAGTGTCTTGTAAAAACCTCAGTTTAGAGTGCCTGCACCAATAGATCTTTTAGTTTTTGTTTGCATCATTCATGTCAGTGTCTTGTAAAAACCTCAGTTTAGAGTGTCTGCACCAATAGATCTTTTAGTTTTTGTTTGCATCATTCATGTCAGTGTCTTGTAAAAACCTCAGTTTAG